TTGGGGCCTAACATCTGGTCTATCCTGGAGAATGTTCCATGTGTTCTTGTTAAAAAAATGTGTAGCCTGATGTTGGGTAGAGTGTTCTATAGATGTATGCTAGGTCTAGTTGTGTGTGAGGTCTCTGAAGTCTCTGTTCTTTTAGCTTGTGTTCAGCTAGTATTTGATAGAGATTTCCTTGAACACCAGGAACCAGAGAGAGAGAGAGAGAGAATGAGAGAGAGAGTGGGAGAGAGACAGAAGCTAAGCAAAGCAAAGACAAGCCTAGTCTTTGCAGATGGGCTCTGTGTTGGTAGACTTCTTCACTGCTTAGCTAGGCTGTTTACAAACCTATTTTAGCCTTTACTCTCTGCTTGCACTGAGCCATTTTTAAGTTACCTTTTTCTTGATTCAGCCTTTGCTTGGTTACTGTGAACTTTATTTTCCGGGGTTCTGTGAAAGTTGATTTTGACAGTTTTTTTTGTTTAAGTTTTCAGTGTTTCTGTGTAGTGATAGGACCTGTGAGCTACCTATTCCATTGTTTTCTCTAACATTACCCCAAAACCCTCATTCGCAGGTTTGGACCCTAAGGGCATACCCTAGGAGTAAGAGTGAACTATAAGTAGATTGTCTCTGTAGGGATTGAAGCAAAGCTTGGAATCATCTAATTCCTGAAATTAAATTGAGATTATCCTAGATAGCTGGTGTTCCTAGCCACCTGCCAAATGAAAAAGTAAATCCTCTCTGGAAGGAAATAGACCTCAAATTATTTCTTCAAATTGTTATGTACAATGTCCAGAACTTAATACAAATACTAGCCAGGCATAGGAGGATACAAGATTCATGACAGAAAACTGAGGCAAATAACAAACAACAGAAACAGACCAATATTTTGATAATGGCATTATCAAACTCAGAGTTTAAGTTAAATGTGCTTAATGTGTTCAAAGAGAGAAAAGATATGACAAAAATCCAAGGAGCTATAACAGAAAAGATCAATAATTCTGACTTTATAAAAATGAGAAAATTATGTTGTTAAGGGAAGACTGAAAGGTTCAACATAGAATACAGTGTGCTCCCATTTGTAAAAAAAAAAAATAAGTATTATATATATTTTGATTTTCAAAAATTAAGATAAAATTTACATAACATAAAATAGATCATATTAAGGGGCGCCTGGGTGGCTCAGTTGGTTAAGCGACTGCCTTCGGCTCAGGTCATGATCCTGGAGTCCTGGGATCGAGTCCCGCATCGGGTTACCTGCTCGGTGAGGAGCCTGCTTCTCCCTCTAACCCTCCCCCCTCTCATGTACTCTCTCTCTCTCTCATTCTCGCTCTCTCAAATAAATAAATCTTTAAAAAAAAATAGATCATATTAACCATTTAAAAGTGTACAATTTAACAGTTTTTAGTATATTCAAAGTGTTGTGCAACCATCACCACTAATTCCAGAACATTTCATCACCCTAAAGCAAAACCCTGTACCCATCAAGCAGTCACTCCCCATTGCCCCTTCTCCCTAGCCCCTGGCAAACACTAATTCGCCTTCTGTCTCTACGAATTTGCCTAATCTGGACATTTCATATAAACAGAATCATATAATATGTGACCTTTTACGTCTGGCTTCTGCTTGGCAAAATGTATTCAAGATTCATCCATGTTTTAGTATGTGTCAGTATTTCATTCCTACTTTTAGTTGCATAGCATTCCTTTATATGAATATACCCCACATTTTGCTTAAGGGATTATATATTTATAGAATAGAATATATTAATATTACATATTCATATGTGTTATATTAATTTTTATATGCTTGCAAATGCATATAAATAGACTATGTTTTGGAAAGATAATGAAGACACTCTTAACAGTGACTGTTTCTGGGGACAGGGACTGAGGTCTGGGGAAGAAAGAAAATTGCTTTTCACTTATAGTCTTTTTTACTATTTAACTTTTTATTTCAACTGAAAAATGAGATTTTTCTTCATTTGAAAACTCGTTATTTCATACAAAGAAATATCCTTTAAAAGTACTATTTTCCTCCCTCATTGCCTTTAAAATAATATGAATATTTTAGTTAAGTTGCTATTTACTCTGACCATCTCTATAAATGTAGAAACCAACATCTAAGTTAACTTTTTTGAATATTTAATATTGCGACTGTAAACACAATTATAATGCTATTTAGAGACAGCATTGTAAGCAAATACTGATGTTAGCTATGTGATTTTAGCCTATTGAAAAAGGAACCAGGGCATCTGGCTGGCTCAGTTGGTGGAGCATGCGACTCTTGATCTCAGGGTTGTGAGTTCGAGCCCCACGTTGGATGTAGAGATTACTTTAAAAAAATAATAATTAAAAAAAGTGAAAAAAAAAAAAAAGGAAAAGAAAAAGGACCAAGAAAAAATATTTTAACAATAGGAATTTTCTGTTGTAACATATTCTCAATGAATGTTTTTTTTTAACTTACTAAACAAAACAAAACAAAACTGCCTTTTCAGACAGCAGTTACTCTGATTAGTGCTACAAATGGACCAGAAAATCTGCAGTGGCAAATTAAGATAACCCTGAAGCCTGTCTTGGGAATCAATAGACTAAATATGCAAAGTGAAAATAAGTATTGTATTAAGGTGTTTTACCTGTTCCTTCAAAATGGGGCTAAAGGAAAGTTCACATTCAAGATTTGACTCAAGTTGTGGATTGAATGGACTTAAAATGCTTTTGTAGGAAAAGTCTTTAGCAGTTCATTAGGTCTTGGAGAGCAAGGAAATATGGGTCTCTCCACCCATCTATATCCAGGGACCTTTCTCTTTCCTCCTAATTCTCACATTGCTTCAAATCCGGATTCCTGTTCTTAAAAAGTATACGCAAACAATGAATCATGGAACACTACATAAAAAAATTAATTAATTTTTAAAAAAGTATACTTAATCAGGGGCACCTGGGTGGCTCAGTCAGTTAAGTGTCTGACTCTTGATTTTGGCTCAGGTCATGATCTCAGGGTCATGGGACTGAGCCCTGAGTTGGGCTCCCCGCTAGGCATGGAGCCTGCTTAAGATTCTCTCTCTCCCACCTGAGAGGGAGACAAAGATTAAGAGACCCTTAATCTCAGGAAACAAACTAAGGGTTGCTGGAGTGGAGGCAGGTGGGAGGGATGGGGTGGCTGGGTGGTGGACACTGGGGAGGGTATGTGCTATGGTGAGCGCTGTGAATTGTGTAAGACTGATGAATCACAGACCTGTATCCCTGAAACAAATAATACATTATATGTTAATTAAAAAAAAAAAAGATTCTCTCTCTCCCTTTCCCTCTGCCCCTCCCCCTACTCTCTCTCTCTCTTAAAAAAAAAAAAAAAGTATATTTAATCATGAAAATTCTCTAAACTTAAATCCTGTTTTTGGGGTATGGGATAGGAAATAGTTTTGTCATTTTAATAGCTATGTGCAAATAAACATTTTAAGATACCATGAGACAAGATTGTTCCAAAGGAGCAAAGGATTCCATCTGTTCCAAAACCCATAACCAAAGCAGTATCTGAACAATATGTAGAAATGACCCCTCTCAGCCTTTAATAATTTAAACCAGTGGTGTCCACTAGAAATATAATCTGAGCCACATACATAATTAAAAATGTTCTAGTAGTCATATTAAAAAATTAAAAACACATTGGGTGTAAAGATTACTAAAATAAATAAACTTTTAAAAAGGTGAAAATAATTTTAATACTTTATTTAATCCAACAGATGAAATCATTATCATTTTAATATGTTCTCAAGTTAGAAGTTTTTAATGAGACATTTTACTTTTTTACTTTTTCATACACTGAGTCTTTGAAAACCAGCGTGTATTTTTTTTTTTTAAAGATTTTATTTATTTATTTGACACAGAGAGAGAGAGAGAGAGGAATCACAAGTAGGCAGAGTGGCAGGGAGTGGCAGAGGGAGAAGCAGGCTCCCCGCTGAGCAAGGAGCCCGATGCGGGACTCGATCCCAGGACCCTGGGATCATGACCTGAGCCGAAGGCAGACGCTTAACGACTGAGCCACCCAGGTGCCCCAACCAGCGTGTATTTTTTGTTCTCACAGCACATCTCGATTTCGGGCAGCCCCATTTCAAGTGGTGCAAACAGGCCTGCCCCATGAAGTGGTGTTAGCATCTGTTAAATTTGTATCGGCTATATTACTTCGGGGATTCTGTATTTGGAATATTTTATAATTTTTAAAAAAGGGAGAATAACACACTGGATTTAAAACAAACAAACAAAAGCCCAGCAGAGAAAGCGGAGTAAATCTGTCCAAAACAATGATGTCATCGACACTGTAACTGGAGGAGGACAACTGGATAAATAGTCATAATAGGAGGCAACGCAAATGGTTTATTTGGGTTTGGAATATGTTTTATATTTAGATTAGTATATAAATGCACTTGCTGTTCTGTATACTCTCATGTCTGTGCACCCAGCTTTGAGCCACCTGGGATTCTTGGCTCAGGGGTTCCTTGGGGCTGCTCCGGCTGCCTTTTGTGAGATCTGTGAACCCAGCGCCACCATCTGGTTGCCATCCCAGGTGGCAGGATGTCGCAAACAAATGCAAGGCAGCCCCACTTCCACAGTCGCTCTCTCCTTCTCTCTCTTTCTCCCGTCCTTCCTTCTCTTTTATTTATTTATTTCTGTCTGCCTGTTTCCCTGGGGCAAGGGAGTCTCTTTTTTCCCCCTGACACTTCTCTTGGGCTCTACGGACCGAGAATAATCAGAAACGTTCTGTGAATGGGTGATGTCAGTTAAGAACAGGAAAGTATAAATGTCCTAGGAACCATTCATTCGTTCCATTTACAAATCTCTAGTGAGGGCTTACTGTATGCCAGACACAGTGCCAGAATAATCTATTTGAGACTCATGTAGAGATTATCCTGCAATACAGCTTCCTGAAATGGGCTCATATGCTCCCCCGTTATAGCTTTCTACGTCGTCATGCCTTTCTTGCCAGTTCATTATATATATTTCCTCTGCTCCGCCCTCACAGATACTTCATGCTCATTATGTCTTAGAGGTGCTCTTTGAAACAAAGAGAGTCCTGAAGCAAATGCCGAACTTCACTCACGTAAAAACTTCTCCCTCCAAAGAGTTAACAATCTGTGGTAAGTTTCAGAGTGGAGCTGCCAAATTAATATTTAGGAGCGTCTTGGTTCTACATCGTTTGCTTAATGTGAAAACTGTGCAAATTGGACTGTATTAAGGGAAAAGTGTTAGTATAGAGTTATCTATCCTGATAATACTGTTCCCCATCTTGTCTTTGTTTTGCATACCAGCTGGCAGGAATTAATTATGTGAGAAATTAAAGAACTCATAGCTTTTTATAAAGGCAGGCGGCATTTTAATACGGAAAACCACCCATGGGTGGAATGAGCCTTCTTTGCCCTCCGTCTAGCTCTCATTATCTTCGTTCCATGTTACTTTTGCTAGGTGCGCCTCCGCGTGCCCTTTATGCTGGGAGACCAAAAGCCCAAGGCCGGGTGGACATTAAACTCTTCTCTGTCCTTGGCTGCTCTTTTAGATTTTTCCAACTGGTCGCTGCAGCTTTTAGAAGAGTGGGAATGTCCCAGAAATCTGTTCCTTGTCCTTCTAAATAACAAGACTTGAGATTCTGTTACCGTATAGGCCAGCCTGGCAGGATATTGCTTCAAGAAACAGTACACATTGAAATTCAACACAGTTGGTGCTCAGCAGGCTTGCAACTGTCTGAGAATGGGGTGCGTGGAAGGAACAGCAACTCCCTTAACTTCTAATTAGGCCTTTAGGTTACAAAACAGTGATTGTTATTTTCCAAATCAATTTTTAGCCTGTGTTTCTTTTCCGCTGGCAGGTAGAAGTGGATTTGATAATCTAGTCAAACCGTTTGCATTGCTAGTGCCTGATAGTGGTGGTGGGGACTTAATGGAACAGTATATGCCACAGGCCTGGACTCGCGCTGCTGAAGCATCTTCACTGATTCCAGCCGAATCGGGCCGACGCACCTCTGCCTGACAGCTGATGCAGCTCAGCAGTGGGGGCCTTTTATTCAAGGCCTCACCATCTCTTACTTTGCACAGAGATTAAGACTTGGGGGTCATGAAGCTCAGGGAGCCGTGCCCACCCATGGAATCCATGGAGCCAGGGCTAGGTATGCTATCAGAGTGTATATAAAAAGCCAGAGAGTGAGATCTGCTCCCACATGTTTCCAGTATACCTGCAGTTGCCACTGTAGATTTCTCTTTGGGTAAAAGGATCTAGAAGAGGACGTGAATATAGAGCGCAAGGGAGTCCTGGCATCACACAGTGTAAGAACCGAATGGTTCTTACTGGGACTAGTCTCTCACTTGTTCTTGCAGATGAAATTGAGGCCCAGAGAGGAAAAGGAAAGTGTATTGCCTTCCCTACATTCCTTCCTCCCTTCCCTCCTTTCTTTCCTTCTTCCTTCCTTCCTTTCTTTTTTCTAAATATTTTATTTTTTATTTATTTTTTAAAAGATTTTATTTATTTGAGAGAGAGAATGAGATAGAGAGAGAGAGAGCATGAGAGGGGGGGAGGGTCAGAGGGAGAAGCAGACTCCCTGCCGAGCAGGGAGCCCGATGCGGGACTCGATCCCGGGACTCCAGGATCATGACCCGAGCCGAAGGCAGTCGCTTAGCCAACTGAGCCACCCAGGCGCCCCAAGATTTTATTTTTTAAATAACCTCTACACCCAACGTGGGACTCAAATGTACAATGCCAGGATCAAGAGTCACATGCTCCACTGACTGAGCCAGCCAGGCACCTATCCTTCCCTGCATTTCTATGTAGTGACTCTCCCCCACCCCCCTGCCCCCAGGCTCACTCAGCTAGTTAGTGGTAGGGTCAGAATCAAAAATCGGGGCCTTTGCATCCCAGGTTAGGGCCGGCCCCATATCTGCTATCCCAACTTCCATCACGCATCTCTCTGACTGATGTGTCATTTTCCCTCATGAGACCAAGACTAGGGAATGGATTGATTGGACAGTTCATTCACTTAAAGATCTCCACCTCTTGGGCATTTATTTGCAGACATTTTTCCATGTAGCACCATGGCTAGAGGGAAAAGCCAAGGCCTGTACTTTCCCTTAGCTTAGGAATTATTATTTTTGGTCGTTGTAGCCCCATTAAACTTAGATAAATTTGGTCATCATTTAAAATTCAAAATTGGGGCTGTATTTTCAAAAACATCTGTTTAAGACAGTACTAGGAGAGGGAGAGAAAGTGTGATGAAATTATTTTAATTTCCAGATGCATTTTTTTTACATGAACATCTCAACATGCTGCATAGTTCTCAACACTCATGCAATATGGAAGGTGTTTTGGTCTCTAGTTATGTTATAAAAGATAACCAATTCTGCACTCATGTTTTTGTTTGCAGTGGAAATATCTCTCTGTGGCTGTCTTTCCATGATACATCAAGTTTTATCTACTGCTGTCCAACTAGAAGTTAAAAATACTTATATAGCTCAATTCCTAATATGCTGAAACCAATTCATTTTTTAGCATGCCGGCTGTAACAATTTTGTCTCCCAAATCTTTGAAAGACAAGTCACCCTGAGGAAAATAAAATAATTTAAAATATATATTTAATTGATAAGAAGTCCTTCCGGGCGCCTGGGTGGCTCAGTTGGTTAAGCGACTGCCTTCGGCTCAGGTCATGATCCTGGAGTCCCTGGATCGAGTCCCGCATCAGGCTCCCTGCTCAGCAGGGAGTCTGCTTCTCCCTCTCCCGCTCCTCCCTCTTGTGCTCTCTCTCTCTCTCTGACTCTCTCTCTCAAATAAATAAATAAAATCTTTAAAAAAAAGAAGTCCTTCCATTTTTATTTCCTTAGATTTGGAGTAAGATCATAGGAAAGCAATGAGATTTAAGTATACAACAGCATTAATATGCTCTTAATATTATAGTTGTTTTATAAATAAGTGCTGGTGATGTAGGACTTTTATTTTATTATTCTCATTATAATCGGAGTCTACTGTTGCATATATTTGGTTAATTTTGGTTGTGGGATTTCAAGCAAACCGAGGAAAGGTATTTCTATATTAAATTCTATTTGGTAATCAAGTTGGATGCAAAGAATAAAAATTAATGATCAGAGCCTATGAAAGATATTTTACCTAGAAATAGTTATCCAAATAGGGCTTTTGACTAATATAGTCACTCTTAATTTTTAATTAATGGCTTCCTGTGTTTATATGGTTTCCCTTAGTTAGCTGAGTTTTATAAAGCCATGCTTTCATTTTTATTTCCTATAACTGTCTCATCAAAAGAATGTCAACTCACAGTTTTTAAATTTTAGGTGCTATTGCTGGAGCATATTCTCTAATACATGGCTTTAAATACATAGCTTTTAAAAAGCTGTGCGTTTAGCAATTAAGTGTATTTATTGATTGCTTATTATGTACCGGGTACTATGAGAGGCACTGGGGATTTAATGCCAACTGACAGATACTACTGCAGCTCTCCTGCAGATTACAGCGTAAACAATACCAAGTAATCGCTAAGAGCTTGAGTTTGGAGTGAGATAAAGTTGGGTTTGAATTCCAGCTCTGATACTTGGTAGCTGGGTGATTTTGCATCAGTTAACTACTCTGAACCTCCTTTGTAACCTCAGAATGATGAAAATAATACCCATCTGACAGAGCTGTTGTAAGGATTGAACAGGATAATTCATGTAAACCCTTAATGCAGTGCTTAGCATAGAGGAAGCTAAGCACTGCGTAAATGGCAGGAGCAGACAGGTAATTATAACATCAGACGCTGTCTCCCATAGGAAAGGGGACAAAAAGAGAGCTATGAAAACAAATTGTTGCATTAATACCATCATAGGATAAAACCCCAATGCCCTGAGAATACTTAGAGTATATTGGCAGCATTTCAGTTTCAAAATTCTGTAACGAAATCGGCATTTTCTTGTTTCCTACTGAATAGTGATTTTTCATTTGCACTCCAGGTGATTTGCATGGGAAACTGGATGATCTTTTTTTGATCTTCTATAAGGTAAATAATTATTTTGCTAAATAGTGGCATTTTTGTTGGGGGAGGCAGTCCTAGGGCAGATAATAACAACATTGGTTTTACTAAGGATATGGACAAATACAGATGTATGTAACAGTTTTTTTCTAGGAAGCCGAAATATTTATAGAAGGATATCTTTTGGCTTTGTAACACATATTTCACCAAAACAATCTTTAAAAAATTTAATCTGGGTCTTTGATATTATGGTTATCTATATATCCAGTGGGATTTGCACCTGATTATATTTATGGTCTTTATCACATTGTAAATGTCTAGATGGCACAGAATGGGGAGGGGAGCAGTCTGTTTTGTTTTTATTTTGTTCAGGAGTGAGCATGTCACATACCCGTCTTCTCTTCAAAAGCACGCTCATTATGTATGAAGGGAGTGCCCCACTTAGGAAGTTCCAAATTGCTCTCTTCCCTACCCTGATTCACCATCGCTGAGCTCAGCGCTGTGACTCCTCTCCATTTGTTGGGTTTCGGTTGTGGGGGCCCACATAGAGGGCACAGAGCAGCGTGGCTGGCATGGGGTTTCTCTGCATCTCTACAATGGGATTCATTTCTCTCTCTGAGCCAGCAGTGACAACCTGAATATTTGCTTCTGGGACAACTGATCCTGAGGTGACCTCTGCCTTCATCCCTTTATGTCTCTTGTTGACCCCTGTGTCAGTCCCCACGGCTCGCATATTGAATAATTGGGCAGAGCATAGGTGTCTCCGGTGGTTGAAAGAAAATATATTCTGATTATTATGATGGCCAATCATTTCTACTCTTTGGAGACTGTGAGAGCTTAAGTAAGCCACGTAACCTCCATGAAATTCAATTTTTTATTTTTTGGCTGTAATATTCTTGAGCTTCCACCCCACAAAAGGCTGTCTTATGGATAAAATAACGAATATCCAAAAGCATTTTTTGAGGTACTAAATTATAACAGAAATGCGAGGTTTTAATTTCATTCATTTGGAGTGGAAGCTTAGAAGGGAATGGAGTGGGCCAAACCAGGAGTGGATGAATGGAGCTGGCACTTAGGACATTCAGTGGAGACTGCAGGAGACCTAAGCAAGGATCCAGAGCCTGGTAGCCGGAGGACCGGAGCAGAGGAAGTAGGAGGCTGCCCAGGAAGTTAGGTTGGTGCCAGGAAGTCCAGCCGAAGTTTTTCTGGTAGGGAGCTGACAGTGCTAGCAAAAGAACAATTCCTGAGATCAAGCCCAGAATCCAAGCTGGGTGGGGAAGGAAGAGAAGTCAGGATGGGCCAGTCAACTAGGAGAAATGGGAGGACGGCAGGACTGGCATGCTTTCTGAGCAAGGGAGCAGACAGGTTGGGGCAAGGGCCTTGGGAAGCAGGAAGGGTGGGAAGTTATTCGGAGAAGAGTCCTAGGAGATGAGTGTGTCCACGTTGGAGTCTAGAAGGTGGGTGGCTGAACAGAGTGAAAGAGAATATTGGAGATGAGGGGGTTGAGGATGTGGAAAGCAAGTGTGTTAAGTGAGTTGGCCACAGGACTGTGAGGTGAGGAGCAGGGGAAGGAAGGCTAGTCAGAGGTCATGGGCTGGAAAGGAGGAGGGGCTTTTAGCCAAGGCTGGCAAAATGTTGGTCTTTTAGCGGCTCTGAGGAGCATGTGAGGAGTCCATCAGCCTTCTTGGGCGGGGGGGCCCAGATTTCAAGAGGGAAGTCTTCTGGATGAGTTGAAGGCAGAAGAGAGTTTATTTACCATGAAATGGGGATTCTATTGGCCAAATTGGAAAGCTGTGGGAGTGGTGGGAGAATGGACTGGTGAGAGGACACTAAGGAGTCACAGTTTGGGGAATGAGATTTGTTTAACTCAGTTCATGGGGCCATATTAAATGTTCAGAAGTTCAATCCTGCTACCGTTGACAGTGACAATTGGAGGAAGGAAGAGAGGGCAGGAGGATGTGGGGAACAACCACAAGAGAAAATCCAGCGATTACGTTTTTAGAGGTTTGGGGAGATACATAAAAGGGAAAATAGTTGAGTAAGTGAGATGGGAAAAATGACTTCTGAGGCATTTAGAAATGCAAATTTCTTGAGAGGTAGTTGAAGAGATTAAGATGTGATCAGGGAAAGGACTTGGGAGTAGACAGATGAGAAAAGAGAATTATAACATGTTCCTTTAACTCTGTCGGCAGAGCGGTATGGAACATATGAAACTGGAAAGTGCTAACGTAAAGACTGAACAGGAGGAGGTGGGTGGTAAGGAGTACCATAAAAAGAACGAAAGGTGAAAATATAGCATTCACATGAAAGCAAGAGGTATTTTGAGAGTTAACCAACGACAGTGTTCCAGAAGTGGAGACTGAGAGTCCAGCAGTGGAAGAGTAGGGCACTCTCATTTGGGAGGGATTTGGGGAGAGGGAGGTGAGAGGGATGTTTGGAAAATATGAATTCAAGTTTTAACAGGCGTGAGCGAGAAGCAGCTAAAATGCATCTCAGATGTGGGATAAACCATGCGCCACAGGATCTTGAAATTGCTTGATTTGAAAGGGGAAACTGAGGGAGGAGCCACTGAGAACAGCAAGGTTCCACTGTCAGAAGCTGAGAAGGTGCTGTCATTGATGGAGTCTGAGAGGGGAGAAGGGCCTGGTGGGCCCGTGATGATGGCAAGCCACTCAGCTTAGGGGCAGCGAGGGCAGTGAGGGTCCGGAGTTGCAGGCCCCGAGAGGAAAGGGCAGTCACGCGGACATGTCTGAGTAAGCTCCTTCACATGATGACCTCACTCGCAAAAGTCAGCATTTTGCCTTTTTCTGTTTCACTTTTTATCTGAAGTTTAAATGAGGAATGTAGGAGGCAAGGGTACAGTGCAGCCTGAAACCAGACACACACACTGTTCAGGAAACAATGTTTGTACCGGAATACAAAGAGCAGTGACAGCCCCCTACTCAGGGGGCGGACTCCCGTGTACTTATCTTCACTTGGCTCTCCTCTGTGGTCCCAAACCGACACAATTAAGGAGAAAGGGTCTCTAAGTTCTTGAAATCGCTGTCACAAATCCAGTGAACTTTCCTCACAGGATGGACCCCAGGCCCTTACTCAAAGACCAGTGAACAGTATCTCAGTAAAATCCTATCTGATACATTCTTGCTACAAGGAGGCCTGCCTGCTCCCCACCCCAGCAAATGAGGGAGTGGGAGGGGAAAGGCAGAAGTGAGAAACGAGGACAATGATGAAAAGTAAAGCTCCTACTGACAGAGGAGATCTAGACCTCTAAGTATGAGATAGGAAATGTGTACAGGGAAGAGAGTTCTGTATTTCTCAGAAGTACCTGAGAGGATGCTTAGATCGACAAGCCTGCAGGGTCAAGAAAGTGTCAAGGGCTGTGGTGCATACTCGGTTAAGAAGTAGAGAGAACAAATAGCGCATTTTCAAAACCCTGAGTTAAAATGGTTAAAGTAATTTAAAAACACATTTTAGCTTTTAAAGGAGTAAGCTTCAGTGATCTGGAGATTTCATCTTAGCAGTACTTACAGTATGAGTGAGTATCATTATTGGGTCTTAGGTATAGGAGGACAAAAGAACATGAGAGAGAAAAAAAAAAAGATTAGTTGAGAGAAGCATAATGGGCCAGGAAAGTAGATGAGGGGGAAAGAAAGCACACCTTACGAACAAAGCAGGAAAAGGGGGAGTGCTGGATTTCTCTCTGTGGCCTCACATGGGATTGACAGCAGGTGTCAACTCCGACCTAAGCCATCTCTCAATTGCTTCAGGAAATGGTAGGGTTTCTGTGATGGCAGATGATGCTCACCGCAAAACTCAGTGCATCAACAGTGTGGTTTTGATTCCCGATTATGTGGAATGCCCTGTGTGCGACCCTTTCCTCTGGTTCATCCTCAGCAGCACACAGGACTGAGGCGCCTCAGTGTAAGCCTCGCCCTCTCTACCTCCTACTTAGAAGCAGCTGCTAGTGGCCATGCTTTCACTTACCCTTATTTTATTATGATTTGTTTAGTAAAATTATCATCTGATGTTTGTTTTATTTTTTCTCATTTAATTTTTCACCATGCATTTTATTCACATTCTGATTGAACTTGAATTGTAGGGAATAGTTTGGCAAACTAGTGTTGGAGATCTTTGGAGCTGTAAATCACTAAAGTTTATATTATGCTCTGACTGATTCCTCTCAGTCAACCCAAAAGAGAAACCAGGAAATCCCCAGGCTTTGAATTAAGGCAAAATTGATATTCATCTTTCAGTGGGTAATTCGCTGGGCCATTTCTTCCTTGTCAGGACTGGGGCTGGCCCAAGGCCAACCAAAGGCATAGCCTGAGAGGGAGAATTACAGTGGAGGGTCCCTGAGATGCTTTGCCATTCTACTGTTTTCATCCAAATGGTTGGTTTGGTTCAAGACTCAAATCCTTATAACCAATCATATACAAAAGTGAGTCTGTCCACAAATTTATTCATTTAATACACTTTTATCTGGTCCTTCCAGTGTTCAAGGCACTATATGAAAACTGTGAAGATACAAAGATGAATATGAACTTTCTTCATTTCACATGTATTTATTAAACCCGTTATGAATGAGGTGCTCTGCTAAGGGTTGGCAAGACAGTATGACGAAGATGCAGTTTTCAGCCCCAGAGACATCATAGTTTAGTGGGGAAGGTCAACTAGTAAAAAGACAAGACAGGTCAGGGTGGGACATATTAATGCTAAGGATAAGCACAAGTCTCCAAGGTAGCATGTTGGAGGGGTACCTCACCTCATGGGAGACTTCCTGGAGGAGGTGACATTTAAGACAACCCGTTCAAAGAATTTTAGTCATTTAGTAAGTGCCTAAATCATGAAAGAACGTTTTGGAGGATCAGAAAAGATTTTATTCTCACACACTTTTTGCGGTGCCCTGTAATAAATAATGGGATTCATACCAGTGATTGCTTTTGATTATTTATGTTGAGATTTGGGTTCCTTTCATATTTGGTTGTCCTTACAAATTGTAGCATTTAGCACCTTAAGACTAAGCTAGA